TGCCAGGAAAGAAAAAAAAAAAAAAAAAAAAAGAAAAAAAGAAAAAAAAGAGGTAAATAGAATTAAAAAAAAAAGGGGGGAATTCAGTCTGCAGACAGTAACACTATGCACTTCCACAGCACCTTCCAACAGGCCACCAGCATTGGCTTTAAGGAACTAAGCCTCCTGTGAGCTAGGCGCTGTTTTACCTGACAGGCTGGAAGTTGGAGGCAAGAAGCCGAACGGTTGGTGCGCGGCCATGGGACACGTCCCCATCCACCCCCCTGCGCTGCCCCCGCACTTCCAGGCACCAGGTGAGGGCCTCGCAAACACGCAAGGTGACTTGGTGGACTTGCAAATAAGGAACATAAACCAGCGCCAGATTTATGTTCTATTTTGCTCCACATTATTCCCAAAGGAAGGAATTGAAGGATCCTACAGAAGGAGATGGGAAATAAACAGAGCCTCAAGTGATCGACACCAGTGTCCTAACAGCTAAGAAGGCAGAAGCCCCCCCCGAGGCACCGTTAGACCCTGCGCTGCTCTCGCCATGCGGAAAGCTCTCCTTGCGGGAAGGGAGACAGCTTGGGGAGGCAGGGGAGAGTCAAGGGGAACTTCAGCCAAAAATCAAACTTTACGGGATGTGTGCCAAAACCTGGGGACGCGTTTATAAGGAGATTCCTGATCCCCTTCCTAACAAAGAAACCACATAAAGTGTTGAGCTTCCTAAGAACAAAATCCTGCACAAACAGAAGCTCAGCGTGCTCCCGAAGGCTCAGATTTGAAGACCTTTGCTGCGCAAGGAGAACTGGGCAGGCAGGGGCAGAAAGCTTCAAGTAAACACGGTGAGGAGGGGACGGAGAACTATCACACCAGGGATAAATCTTCATTCTCCTCAGGAGGAATGACTGGGATTGCCCTCTTCCAAGAAACTCTTGGGATTAGAAGCGAAGTGGTAGATGAAGACTTTCCTTTCTGATTTAAAGGAAAAGAACAATGACCAACTATTCCCCAGTTAGCAAATTGTTTTATTCAATAACATAGTCACAGGCTAAAAAATGCTTTTGGAAAGGGGAGATCCTTTAGTACCACCCTTCAAATGTTACGTACAAGAACCTGGAAACAAAGATCACTCTTGGAGATTACGTCTACACAGGAAAATAAGTTTCTAAGATATAACTGCTATTAAACATTAAAGGAAAAGGCCTGCCAGGAGTGACATCCAGCAGATTTTTTCCCCACTTTTTTCTAATTAATACATGAATAATTAATAAATTAATAACAGTACTTTACAGTAAGATTTCTTCAGTAATAAAGCTAACAGAGAAGAGATGGTCATTTGGAGGAGGAACTATACATTAAGTTCCAGAGGTGGCATGCAGAATAAATCCATAAAACCCTACGTAACATAAACTCAGTAAGGGACTTGTACAAAAAGTCCCTTAAAAACAAAAAGTTTTGTTTTTCCTTCTTAAATCAAAAATACAAGGACTATATGAAAATTGCATCCCCCCGAAAAAGCAAAATTGTCTGGATTTTTTTCCCTGCTGCATAAGAGGGTAAAGGCAGGAGGTAGGAGAGAGGTAGGAGAATACTCATAAAACCAGAAAAAGCACTGGTCTATTAACAGCAGCCAGGAAAACTAATGAAATAAGGGAATTGGAAAGGAAATCTATTCTCTTCCTTTCAATTTTGATGACTGTTTCATATTCCCAAATAAGGGAGAATAGTGCTGTGAAACAGGTTCAAAAATGTTAAGTCTCAGTTCATAAAAATCATTTATTACATGAAATCCAAGAAGCAGTACTTAAGGAGGCTGGGGCAAAAAGTCATCTTTATAACTTCTCAAGGATGATAGCATGATAGTTAAAAACTACTCTTTAAGTAAAACAAGAGAAATGAAAAAACGAATAAAACGCAAACTGCATTAGAGGAGAGAACATCAGACAAACTTAGCAGACTTTGTTCAGTAAGTTACCTGATTTTGTATAACAAGAAAATACAATTAAAGTCATCTATTAACAGTGCCATAATATGGCATCAAAAATTTAGTTCTATGGGAAGAGATGGTGATTAATGAAGAACTGTACAGTAGACAAGCTTGCTGAGGAAAATATAAAAGTCACTAGCAGCGAAAAGACATATAGAGTTAGAACTGTGTTACTGGTGAGATTCCTTAATGCTGGCCTTTTCAGTAGTGACTAGAGAAAAAAAAAAAAAAAAAAGTATGTTGATGAAATGTCCATTAGGAAATCACCCATTAAAAACAGAATTGGGACACAGCACAGATGATATTGCCGAAGCAATGAAAAGCCAACAGAACAACATGCAACAGGCCACAAACTCCGTAAAGCCTGTATGTAAGGATATCTAATGTGCTTCATGCCTGAAAGAATTCCACCTCTGGCCAACAACACTGCGCACATGCAGCACACCTCCCAGCAGAGGCCAGCAGCGCTGCTTTAAAAAGTTAATGAACTTGAATGATCTTGTGAGGCAGATACTGCTCTGTGTTGCCGGACAGGAGACTAAGGCCGGGATCAGGAGGAGGAGGACCACTGTATATTCCCTGCAGTGAACCACACAGAACGCATCAACAGAAAGAAAAATGCATGAGGGGGCAGGAAAGAGAGAACATGAGCGAGCAGGACACGCGTGTTAGACAAGTTAGACACAGCGCTAGGCAAGAGATTTTCTAAACTCATAAGTGTCATTTTTTGTTTCCCACGTTAAAGATTAATTAATTCTAACTGGAACAGACAGGGAGGAGTTTTTTCACTGTTCAGGTAATGGAAAACCTGCAAGTTCAGCCTGTTAGCAGGACTACTTTGTGCACATACACAACAATGTGCCTAAAAGGAAGAGAACTATTTTACTTAAACATATATGAACCAATAAATATTAATTAGGAGTAACACTCCAATTTGAAAACTTGAAAGTCAGATTCTAAAAACCAGAAATCTTTCTGAAAACAGCAGAAAGGCAAAGATAATTGTTCTTAAAACACATATCATATAAAATGTTTGTCCTTAAAACATACAAACTCTTCTGTACTTCATTTAACTTCATTATGGCTGCCTTAGGACAACCTCCTGCTATTGCAAAGTTCCTTGCAAGTTCATGTTCTTACTTGATGTAAGGAACAACCTTTGATCACTGCGTGCTTCGATAAGAAGCCAAAAAAATGACTATGGACTTCGAAGAAATTTAGGGGAGGCTGTATGAACTTGGTGCGGAAAACAAGAGTTTTTTGCTCTAATAAAAGAATTTCATTTAGGCAGTAGGGGAAAAAAAAAGCTAACAGGACTTCTAGGCTGCTTCAACAGTTCTTAATAAAGACCAAATGGTAGAAAAAGGGGCAAGGAACAATGAAATTGAGACTGAAAAGCTGATTAAAATGCTTTTATCTTCCTAGTATCCAATTTAGTTACTTTTCCACGGATTCTGAAAGGGAAACAGATCTGTGGAAAGACTTGACAGATCTCCATATTGGAGCCTAAAGATATGGGAAGAAGAGTGGGTAAGGAGGGCAATTTTTGTGAATAAACAAAGATTCTGCAAACTCAGTACTGGCTTCTGCTTGGTCTAGCAGAGCATTAGGATGGATTGACTCATCTGGATCTTTTATGGGGACAGAGTTGTCAGAGGAGGAACTTCTCAAAAAAACACACTTTAGCCAACTCAAAAATAACCCATCTAAAATCTTATTCTAAGGCATTTCATCCTTCAAAGGTGCTCCACCAAAAGTGCTACACAGTTCGATGATCTAAAGCCAATCTCATGTAATTCTAGCAAAAAAAGAAAGTCTCTTCAGGCTTCATGAAAGCCACAACATAGCAAATAAAGCATTTTACATCCCCAGGAAAAACACTGTCAGAGACAGTGACAGGCCTTTTCAGGCAACACTCCAAAAATATCATCCCATATGGCAGAAGTAGTCCATGCACAGAGCACTCTGCTGAGCTGTACTCCACACAGCATCATCTTCCAAGTCTTTCTTCTGATAGTGACTCCAGGTTTTATGTGTGTGTGTGTGCGCGTGTGTGTGAGAGAGAGACAGACATTCAGACTAAAAATAAATGAGAACGCGTTCAACAGAGCTAATGAAAGGGGAAAGACACAGGGTAGGCAATTCTGGTTAACTGATCAACAAGCAGCAACAAGCATTGTAACCAACAGGATAATACTCTTAGAGCTTCAGATTTTCTGAGGCT